CTTCGGGCTAGTACATGGCCACAGCCCTGTAAGGGCTAATGCACAGCCTGCAGGTCAACAATGCTTTTAAAAGAGCACCGCCCCCCTATGGAAGCTGCTACTTTCCACCATAAACAAACCCAAACCTGGGCATTTTAGACATGTAGCAGGTTCAGAAGTAAAAGGAGGTGAAAACAGAGAGGGAGGGAAACCATAAGAGACTCTTAACTCTAGGAAACAAACTGAGGGTCGCTGGAGGGGGCAGGTGGGGGGAGCAGGTAACTGGGAGACGGGCATGAGGGAGGGCACTTGATGGAATGAGCTCTGGGTGTGATATGCAACTGATGAGTCACTGATTCTTACCCCTGAAACTAATAATAATAAAGAAGTGAAAGGAGAAAGCTGGAAAGCAGGAGGAATGGCATAGTGCTGTTTCCAAGAGGTGGTGGTGGGTGGGGACTGCAGAGACTCGGGCAGAAACGAGAGTATGGCTTGCTTACTTGATGCTCTCTTACTTCCCCCCATCCCTCCACCAGAGAGCAAACCTCAGCCCTCACCCCCAACACACACACACACACACACACACACACACACACACACACACACACACACCCCTTCCTCCTACTGTCTCCATTGTCAGAAGGTTTTCACTCACTCCAGCCCTCTGCCTGTAATTTTGTAATTGGGGAATTCATTTTGAGGGTAATGAAGACTAATAAAGTCTTTAAAAGTGAAAAGGTATCTGAGGGTTAAGGATCTCTCACTCACTTGACTCAATGTGCTTCCTCTCTAATGCCCAGACAACCGCCCCGTTAGGGATTCAGGTTCTGATTGTTGTCCGAAGGAGGTCCTTCATGGTGGAGCCTGCGGTCCCCTCCGTGGGGCCAGGCAGGCCTGGGTCTGGGATAGCCGGATGCGAAGGGCGGGATGACAGCGCCGGACTGGAGAGAGAGTGCGTGATGAAACAGGCTGTCAGGACAAACTCTGTCTTTGACATTTTGCCTCCAGCCGGCTCCTCACCCACCTCTCCGCCGCCCCACCCAGAAAGGTGAAACTCCCTGCTCACTCCTCACCACCCACCCTTGCCCCCAGGACTGAGCTTAAGCAGGTACTAATTAGTACTATATATATAACTTGGTTATGTTCAGGGTTCAAGAGGCTTGTGTGGACTGGCCCGGGAATCCAAGCGTCAAATAAAATGATGTTTCTATAAGAAAATGCTGGATTCTAACTTGTGGGCCAACACTTCACTCCCAGATTGGGGACTGCTTAAACTTGGGAGGCAGCGCAGAACTCTTGTGTATGGTAACTTGAAACCAGGCCTCGGGTTTCTTGTATGGTCCATTTTGCGAAAGCTCCATACACACCATGTTGGAATCTAATTATTCACACACACACACACACACACACACACACACAGAGACATGGATAGAGATATAAGTATTGTAACATGCACTACGGCTATTCCAAATATTATATTGCAATATAGAGAGTCTATGTAGAAATATAGATACTACTTGTCATTGAAGCCTTAGCAAGAATCCTTCACAGCTGTGAGGTCTATGCCACAAATGTCTACATCTTGCTCTAAGCACTAAAAAACAAAAAGAAAAAGAAAAAAATCTATGTGTAAATCTGTTATCTGTGAGCTATTTTTAAAAGAAGCCTTATGGCAAATCATTTTGCGTGGCAAACAAGCACTTTTTCATTTGTACTTGTTAACCAAGATTTTATTCGGTTTTCTTAGATGGGGCGACAGAGAAGATGTTCTGAAGGACTGGATATTCAAGTAATCTCGGGACTGCTTTCTTTCTCAACTGGAGAAAGAATCTCACTAGATTGACCATGCACTTGGCAAATATTTATTGAATGCCTAAAAGTGCTGGCCACCGGGTCTCTGCCCTCTCAGAGTTCTCCAGTCTAATCAGGGAGACTGGGGCTGAGCAAATATGTCATTTTGGTGCATGCAGTTGACTCTTGAACAACATGGGTTTGAACTGTGCAGGTCCAGTTCAACACGCAAATTTTGCATCGTACAGTACTGTAAATGTATTTTCTCTTCCTTATGCTTTTCTTAATACCATTTCCTTTTCTCTAGCTTACTTTCCTGTAAGAATCCAGTATATCTCACATATAACATCCAAACTATGTGTTAATCAACTCTTGATGTTATCGGTAAGGCTTCTGGTCAACAGGAGGCTCTTAGTAGTTAAGTTTTGGGGGAGTCGGTAGTTATATGCAAATTTTTGACTGCGGCGGGGGGCTGGCACCTGTAATCCCCAAGTTATTAAAGGGTCCACTGTAATGGCATGGAAAATGTGAGTGCTCTTAATGTCCTCATCTCTAAAATAGGGCCAATAATAGGACCTACCGCACAGGGCGGTGGTTGAGGATTAACTAAGAAAACACGCATGTCAACAGATCGTACTCCAGAGACTGGCATGAGCTAAGTGCTTTGGTTGTTATTTCGTAAGAGCATGGGGGAGGGCACAACTAACTGCCTGAAAGAGGTGGCCCAGGTCTGAGATGAGCAATGTGAGTTTTAAAAGATGAGTAGGTGTTCAATAAATGGACACATCAGGGGATGAATATTCCAGGCAGAGGGAGCTAGGTGCAAAGGAACAGAAGTACTAAGGACTTCTAAGTACGAGTTCTTGTTAGTACTTCTTAGTCCTAAGGACTTCGTATTAGGTACTAAGTTCCAGAAGAATGGAGTTGGCATGGCGGGAGGATACAGTACATAGGGAGAAAGGACAAACGGTAGCAAACTAGGAAGGGAGCAGGCAAGGATCCGCAGAGGAGGTGACATTTTGACTGGGTCTTGAAGGACGAGTGGGAGTCTGCCGGGCAAAGGAGAGGGAAGAACATTCTAGGGGTGGGAAGAGTATATACAAAGGCCCAATGTTGTAAATGTGTATGAACGATTTGGGAGACTGTGTGCTGTCGCTGGAGCTCTGCATTTAGGGACTCCTGTCTCCCATGGAGAGGTTTCAGAGGTATCTGAGCTTGTTTGGCTGACCGGTGGGGTGGGCCCCCTGAAGTCAGTCTGCGTGAGGGATTCAGTGGGGAACAGAGGCCGTACACAGGAACCACAAGGAAGAGGGATTAGGAGGGCAGTCTCATGTCTGTCTCAGCGGCTTATGCTCAGCCCAGCCTCTGCGTCCTGGCAACGAAAGGACTGGAAATGGAACTTGAAGGATTCATTTTGGTGCAAAAGTCCAAGAGACTCTGAGGCACAAGAAGACCCCTGCCTATGTGTTAAGCTGGTTTCACGGAAGGTGGCAACATATAACCTCACAGGTAGGGAGGGAGGGGAGCCTTCTCTCCACTTGCGCACAGGATAAGGTGCCACTGGGCGTTCCGGAGCACCACCACCACCATGCTGGCACCTCTAGGCCTGCAGAAGGAGCCCCACCAGCCATATCCCAGCGAGTAGTGGCGGGGAGTGTCAGAAGACGTGTGGTGATGCAAGCAGTGGGTGGCCCACATGAAATGACCGCTGGGACTTCCTCGGAATCACCCGGGTGTGGAGACTACAGAGAGGAGAAGTCCTGTAGGAGGAGAGAAGGGCAAACACCAATAAACATGGGCCACTCCTAGGAGACCATATTGCCGGGATGCGGGTGATCGGGGCAAAGGAAGAGTGCCAGAGGGAGCCAGAGTGTCTGGTTTAAGTTTTATGTGGTCCCCCCACTGGAGGTGGAGTAATGTGGGGATTTAGAGCCCACCGTTGCAGAGGAAAGTTTGCTGGGTTTTGTAAGGGCGGGCTGGGGGCAAGCTAACAGAGATGAGGGGAACTAGGTACAGCGGAATGCACAGTAAGGGGTGGGCCACCAGAGGCCAAACTTCGGGCCAGGTTGTAGGTCAAGGATTGTGGGTTTCGAGGCTCAGCATGGGGAAATGGCTTCTCACGCACCTCCCACACCAAGGTAACACTTCTTTCCCCATTACCTTCAATCTTTTCCTTTCCATAGGGTCTCTCCCTTCAGTACTCAGACATGGCCAAGTATCTACCATATTTGAAATAAAAACTTTGCCAGGGCGCCTGGGTGGCTCAGTCGGTTAAGCGTCTGACCTTTGGTTTCGGCTCAGGTCCTGATCTCAGTGTTGTGGGATCGAGCCCCGCCCTGGGCTCCATGCTCAGCGGGGAGTCTAAATACCTTCTCCCTCTGCCCCTCCCCCTGCTTGCACACTCTCTGTCTCTCTCTCTGAAATAAATACATAAATCTTTAAAAACCCAAAAAACCCCCAAAACTTTCCTTTGACCCCGTATCTTTCCCAGCTACTTCCTTCATGTAATCTCTCCACTTTCTGTAATGAAGCTTCTCCAAGGAGTGGCTCTAATTTTTGTCTCCAATTCCTTACCTCCCCACTCACTTCCAGCTTCTGCTCCCATCACTCCCCCAACGCGTCACCACCAATGACTTCTGTGTTGCTCAGCCCAGTGCACACTTTTGTGTCCTTATATTATCTGACACTTAGGCTCTCTTGGCTTCAGCACTAGCACACATCTAGTTGCTCTTAGGGGTTTGAGGCAACTTGGTTTGGATTAACATATATGACAAAACTCTCACCTTGTTCCCTGTGCAGCAGACTGAAATTGAGGCCCTCCTGAAACCCAAGTCAGTGGCCTTCTGTCCCCAATCTCTTCAATGTCTTGGCCACGCCCTTCGAGAACATCCATGGTCATAAATGAACGTCTGCTAATCCCTTGACGTGCACTGGCTAGATTAAGCCTCACCGTGGGATTGCAGGCAAAAGGCAATAGCACCATATTTATCCCCGTTTCATAGATGGGGAGATGGGGAGATGGGGAGACTGACACAGCTGGGAAGTGCAGAGCCGGGATTAGAAACACAGGCAGGCTGACCGCAAAGTCCCCACTCTTAGCGAAGTTGCCACAGTGGGAGCGAGGGGGCATCAAGCTGAGTGTGAAACAGCCAAGCCCACCCATCGCCCGCTACTTGGTCCGAGGTCAGCACCGACCAGAGACTCAATCACTCCCGCAGCATTCCTGCAGATGGTTTTTCAAAATTAACTTTTTTATTAATTTAAAAATCCAGAAATACAGTGACTACATAAATAAGTACCCTATTTAGGTACATGTCCTGTAAGAAGAACAGAAGGCTAATACTGTTACTTTACGTTTACTCTTACTTGTTTACACGAGTTAACTAGAACATGGCTATAACTGCTAAATGGTGCTTATGGTCTTTGTTGTTCCAGGTGTTTATGATACAAATAAATACACAAGAAGAACCACATCCATTCCTCTCCTAACTACAGGGGACTCTGCCTCTTCTCCCCATGCCCTACTGCTTATACCACACAGAACACCGCAAGGTTTCTACGTTGGCCTAGCACAGCTCCCCAGCCCCTGCTTCACACAGCACATGGGAAAGGTGTGTCCCCGCACCTGGGGGCAGACGTCTATCTAGGGAAGCTCTCTGGGTGTTCCCTTATGGTTGAGCTTTCAGAGAACACCTGGGTGGGAAGGCTTTGGGGTGAGTCATCCAGAAGGGGAAATCACCACTTGGCTTGAGGATCCAGTTACTTGTTTCCACACTATGGAAATGCTGCCACCTCTGGGAGGGAGGCCGAAGCTACTTAGCAGCCCCGTCCCCAATAACGCTCTCTGGCCTCTCAGCCCTGGATGTCCTCCCTCCCTTTCCTGGGGAGAGTATGTATGAAGGGTTGGTAGGAGGCTTGTCCGGTGAAGGCCTGGCCACGAGGCGCCCCTGTATCTCTTTTAGGAGAACCGCCTCCATTATGCCAGGTTTTGCCATAAAGATTTTTACATTTTTCCCTATTGGTGTCATCGACTGTAAGGAAAACAACGCTCCTCTCTCCTATGGCCATGGAGTGGGAAATACAGGATGTCTGCGTCCTTGATACTTCTGAGTACTCACTAGAGTTCATTCAAGCCCCTCAGAAGGGATGAATCTAGAAGGCAGGCTTGAGATCCTTGTGGAGAATTTACAGTTTTGCCACAAAGATGATGTCTAAAGCCAGGCCTCAGAACGGTAAGTTCTGCTCTGGTATCGAGCTCTGAATAGACAGTTTCTGAGCAGCCTTCTCTAGGATTCATGACTCAAATCCCTGCTTGGTGGATGAGATGAGAATGGTAGGAAAGTTTAGAACAAAGATCCTTGTCAGAATATCCACTTCCCCACATGAGCAACAATTCTCCTAACTGAACAGCCAACCTTCAAAAGCTTGTGGGGACTGAGCCCCTTTGCAAAGTCAAAATGAACTCCTGTAATTGGAGAAGAAGGAAAACTGCCCTTTTAAGAAGCTTCTAGAATGTAATCATTTAATCTAAATTTCTGGACTACAGAACTCTGGCTATCAAGAAAATTAGCGAGTATTGAGCTATTTGTTGGTGACTCTTACTGACTTGAAAACACAAGGTTTCCTTGTTGACTTCCATCCACCATTTTCTTCAACAATTATTTTGTCTTCTGTGGATTCAGTTTCTGAAGATTTTACTCAGTTCTAACTTCTTTACGGGGCCCCCCACAGGCTCAGGGAGAAAAGAGAAGTGGCATCACTAGGGAAAAGTTATTTATGGCTTCAAAATGAACGTGGCCATGAAATGGTGTTCTTATTCTTCACCCTGCCACCATAGTTGGTGACTTCAGCAACCACACCACTGACCTTCTGCTCACAATTCCTTCTTTATCCTCCTGAGTACCCACAACTTCAGAGCTACTTGGGAGCCAGGCGAGGGAAAGGAGGGGAGAGTCTATGCTGGCTTTGCCTCAGAAGGAAGGCGGCAGTTTAGTGTGTGTGTGTGTGTGTGTGCGCGCGCGCGTGCGTGCACACGCGCGCACACATGCATGCTTGCACACAGGCATGTGTGTCTGTGTGGATGAGGATGGGCAGTTAATATTTTCTTAAAAACACAAGACATCCTAAAATTGAAAGAGTATAATTTCATACACATATTTTCTCTGTACTACACAACTCCTACTAAGCAAATTCTCATCGGTTTTCTTTCATTGGAGTAACTTTCTAGATAGAAACCCTAGGGTTTGGTTTACTCTTTAACCTGTGAAGAAATGTGATTCTCCCAGAAACTAGAGCAGTGTTGTGGTGTTCTAGCCCTCCTCCTCCCACAAATAACTCAAGACTCTTCTAGTCTCTTTGCAGGAGGTGTTTAAGGACTGACACACCACTCCACATAAAGGAGCAAGTTATGCTGTGCATGGCGTGAATAATGAACTGCATTTGAGTTTGGCGTTTTAGGGCACTGTTGACTTAAGCAAAATCAGCCCGCAGTCCAGCTGCAGCTTGAGTTTTCTTGCTTTACCCTCTCCAATACTGTCTGTCTCGTCTAACAGTGGCCCTTTTCAGACCTCTCCAGGTACAAAACCTTGACCAAATCTTCAAGCTCTGTTCTGCACACACGACTTGAACACATCTGGCTGATCTGAGCTTCTCCTTCGGTGAATATCTTCCACTGGCCTACAAAGCAAACACAGAGTAGCCCAGACATATAAGAGGAGGGCAGAGCCAATTAGGAGTGTAACCAATCTACCCGATCCTTACCCGCTCACTCACCGGGGGGGTGGGGTGGTCGGAATACAAACGTCAGGTGGTTTCAGAACAGCCCTGCAAAACACATTTCTGGGGACAGATACGGAAAACGGGCCACAGGGTATTCATTTCAATATGCAGGATTTGTAAGAATCCCACGAATAATACGTAACGGCCTCAAGAGTCAAACCTAAGTATTATTCTTGGAATTTTTGCAGTATATGCATGATTTGTGAAATGCCCCACTATCAGGTTGTGAGCTGTTTAGGTGGCTCACTTGGGACCAGGCCAAATAAAGCAGTACCTGTGTGTTACTGAGGCTTTGCTTACTTTTTGGGGGGCCAGATACCAGTTTAGGGGATTTGATTATTTACTGCTCTTTTCTCTATCCATGCCACCCTTTGCTAACAACTGCCCACCTCTGTTTTCTCCTATGCTCACATGCTGTCTTTACACCCCCTTTAGCATCCCTCAATCCCCTCCTGTGCTATCCCTCCCATTCCCTGTTTTTTCCTCTCCCTCCAGGGACGTGCCCATACTTCCAGCCTGTCCTTACCAACTTGCCTCTTCCCCATTCCATCATGCTAGTTGAGCAAACATTTTTGAGTTCACACCTTGTGCTGAGCACTGACTGGTAACCACTCTAGATCATCCTTCTTCTGGACCCATACCTTCTCGGAGTTTCCTGATCCTCAAGTGGCAAGATCTTCCTTCTCCTGCTATCACCTTGCCATGGCAAATAATCTTTGTAACAAACTGCCCACCCCGGATATCCTCTTTGGTCTTTCGATTCCTGCTCTCGTGCTGTTACAACCTGGGGAACTCCTAGTCCAAAGTCAGTGAGCTCCTCTTCATCCAGAACCTATTTTCAACCTCTTTTCTTTCCCTGGCCAAAGAAGATCATGACCCTCTTTCCTTACAGACTCGATGTCTCCACTTCCTGTCTCCCTTGGATCATTCACCTTTCTCTGTTCTCTCCAACTCAATGGGAAAGGAGAGAAGGGTCGGGCAAGGAACCAGCTTCTACCAAAGCCCTGCTGTGTGCCAGGATCTGATGGCCTCATGATAGAAAGGGTCAGGCTTGTTTTTCTTTGCCCCCAGGTGTCCCTGCAGGGTCATCTTAGTCCCCACTTCCTTCGGCTGCACACAGCTGGAGGCACACACTGTCTTCTTCCATTATACACCCCAAATCCTGTTATGAACAGAGAGTTTGTTTCAACCATCTTTCAAGCCCCCCAGTGCCCAGCGCAGTGCCTTGCTCATGGCAGAAACAAAAATGTGTTCTTTGAAATTAATTGGTAATTTCAAAAGTCACATCATTAGTACCAGATCCTAGACTCTGCCCCCTTTGTTCCTTACTCACATGTAAGGACTCCCAACCCCTTGTTTGAATTCTCTCCTCCCTCACGTTCAGTTTATCGTCCATCAGTCTCCTACAGAATAAACAAGTGACCTCATCAACCCTATTTCCCGCTGCCCATAGGATAAACTCTTCTCGGATGACCTTTAAGTATCTTCATCTAAACATGTTCCAAGTGAAACGGGCTTTTCCCCTCAGTACCTGCTTATTCTCCAGAGTTTCCCGTTAGCAAATTAACACTATTCACCAAGTCTATAAAGTTGTTACTGTTGGAGTCATTCCAAACTCACTTCTCTCTTTGTAGCGATCCTGATGATTTAACCTCAGAGGTGTCCCTCATGGTGACCTCTCCTTCCCTGTCTGACCAATCTAATACAGTATGAGTTGTTTTTTGTTGCTATTGTTTTATGGTATAAGAGCTTCCTGATTCAGAGGACCACCAGCTACTTATCACTGAGAGTTCACTTTTCACTCCACACAGTGGGCACTCCATTCTAAAAAACAGATGTACTGCATTTCTGTTAACTTCTATTATAAAAGAATTAAAAGATATATCTTAGTTTCTAAAAAAATAAAAAACGGATCTGCATGCATCGTGCACTTGCTTAAAACCCTCCCCTGGGGTTCTTAGGTCTGGAAAGCAAGTCCAACTTCTCAGCATGGCATACTGGGCTCTTTGGAACACGGCTTCATCAAAGTAGGTATGTAATAAATCCGCCTGAGGGCCAAGAGACATCTTTCCGAAGCACCATTTCCATCTCGCTAGGCCATTTGTGAGTCTGCAGCAACTACCCACGCTACTTGCCTTCTCCGTGAACTTCTCTCTGGCTTCTTCCAGGGCCCTCCACCCCCACATTTCTTGTTCGCTCTTGTCTGAGTCTTCTCTTGGGCTGCACCCTCTCACTGAACGGATTTCCTGACCTGCAGCCCCATCACACCCTTCTCTTTCAAAACACACCTCCTCCCTGAAGCCTTCCTTGACTAAGCCTGCCTGGCTCTCGCCTCATTGTTCCTTGCAGATTTCCCCCGAGTACTTAAGTATTTAACTCTTCAGAACTAGACTGATTCTTAGAGAAGTCATGTTCATGTTCTGTCTTGCCCATTGGCATGCCCTGTGGATAGAAATTCTGGGCCTTTTATTTCTTCAGAAGTGCTCCCCACCCCC